TCTCTGGATGGAAACCACCACCAGAATGTGCTACCTCCAACCTACCCACAACCAACACAAATTGTGGTCACGGCCTCAAACCTGCCAGATTTCAAGAAGCATTTGGACCACACTCTCAGAAACACAGTTTGGATTTCGGGTGGTGCTGTGTGGAGCCAGAGGTTGGACTCATTGAACCCTGTGGGTCTCTTCCAACTTAGGATATTCTATGATTGCATGAAATTCCCTCACTTCCACTCACCTGAAACAAGTTATTTCAATTCTTACTCATTCTTGTTTTCACTCTATTTTGAACAGGCCTTTTGTGAAATGTCAGGTTTGAATATAGTAGAGGAGTCAAGAGGCAGCAAGGGAAAAAATTACAAATTTTAGGAAAAAATGGTAACAATTTGGGCACACAAATTGTTCTGCTTTGTGGTCTGAATTAGGCAGCAGACCCTCCCCGAGGAGGTTTCATCATCAGCAGTTCTTCAGATAAGCTTTTTATACTACTTTGTACTTTTACTATACACATTGAACAAAGTGGTTTTGATGCTAAATCAAAGGCCAAGACAAAGAGGAGCAATAAACAAAAGGCTCCCAAGCAATCTAAGTGGAGGGCTTCTTCCCCTTCAATGTGTTTTTCCCTCCTGAAAATTGGCAAGTTGCTGCCCCATCTGACAAGCAGCGTGTCACAGTTGTCCAAAACCTGCTCAACTACTCATGCACAAGGGGCAACGTGTGAAGGATGCAGTGCCACAGGCGCTCCTTGTCCTCTCTGCAGGGCCCTTGGTGGTCACAAAGCATGGTTGCTCCATGTACCAACCTGGCAAGGGCAGTGCTGCAAGCGCTCGCTCTCCAGCTTTGCTGGGCAGATCTAAACCAAACAGCCTTTCGGAGGGTACTGACAAGGACATCTTCATCCCCTGCTGTGAGCAGAGCAGCTTTAGTCTTTGTTTGCTCTCCTAGCGCTGTGCCAAGCTCCAACTCTGCAGGTCCCTGGGGTGGGCCGCAGCCAGGCCATGCTGAGGGCTTCCCATCCCCATAGGCATCACTCGGAGATGCCATCTGTAACATGGGTGCTTTGTTTCCTGAATCTTAGAGATGTGGAGGCTGGGGAACATAGCAATCGGGTTTTGTGCTCTCTACCCCCTGCCTCAGGCTGAGGTGGCCCACAGCACTTCCACTGGATGAAATGTTTATATGACCCATCAAATTTTATTCATTTTGAAAGCGCAGAAGGGAAGAGGGGGAAGTTGGGCATTAAGTACATTCAAATTAACACAGCATTTACCCAAAGCAGCATAAGAAACAAGAACACAAAAGCAGTTCCGTTCTGAAGCACTTCCTACCTGTAACTCATTTCTCACCAAACCCAGGGATGAATCAAGGGCACCAGCACTGTCCCTGGGCATGCTGTAACTTCAGCACCACTTTGCTTGACAGTCAAGCGGCTGCAAGCCATCCCAAATACCTGTGCCACCCTACAGACCCTCTCGAGGCTGACCCACGAGCCTGGTAATGCATGTGTGCGTCTGCAAGGCACGGGGATTTCAGCTGTGTTTCAGGATGGATCGCTCTGCTCAGCGTCCGGCTCCGCAACTCTCCTTTCAGCTGCAAATATAAGTTACCGGCATCTTGACGAAGGCCAAGCCCGACGATTTAGCAATTGCCTCCCTTTATTTCTTTTTAAAGACCGCGCTGAATCACGATGGGATTTGGGGGTTTTGTTTTAATGGCAAGGCAAGAATTCGCTGATCCTCCCCACGGCGAAGTTACTTTCAAGTCAGCGAAAGTTCTTGGCCCACGATGAAAAGTCTTTGCCAATTAGCGCTCAACAACCTCAATTCATCCCTCCTGGTTCAAGATGAGTAGGAACCTAATAAGGCTGTGATAAAAGGGCAAAAGGCACCGAGTACCCAAAGGGGATTAATGGGCTCTTCCATTTATTTGTCTTCCCAACAGCTGAACTGTTACAAGTATTGACGGGCTTCAAACGGCCCCGCGCCCGACGCAGCCCCAATGGCCACCTCCAGCCCCAGCCCCGCAGGGCCAGGGCTTCCCCCTGGGCGATGCCAAAACCAACAAAGCCCCGGGGATCAGGTAATGAAACTTCAGCTTTTCCCCCTTTGAGATTTATTTACTGGCAGCTGACAAGGGGCAAATTCAGCGCGGATTGTGTAGCCGAGGCCCTGTCAAGCCTTCAGAGGCACCCTTATGTCGAATCACCTTCCTGACTGGCATGTCGCTGAAAAGCCCTCGGCGCTGGTCCTTAACAGCTCCCGACAGCACAAAGGACACTCCAGACAGATGCCTACATGGCATCCTGCAGCATTTTAAAAGAGAATTAGTGGTTTTAATTATGGTCGTCGTATGAAAGGAAACCATGCAAGCTCCGCAGGAGACCTTTGATCAAACCCTTTTGCTAGCACAATGCCGCGGAACTGTGACTATTCCTAGCAAGGGGCCTTTTCTCGCTGAATGACTCACCAGTGATCTTTGAATGCAGACAAGTTCCTCGCCCTCCCTCTTCATTAGCGAGCATTTCTATACAGGCCCTATATAGCGCACGGAGTCTAGGAGCTATACAATGGGGGGGAAAAAAAGGATCCCTACAGATTCTGGCCTCCTCTTAGGAAGTGCTGAAGGACTCTGAGTGACTTTATTCATTAAAACAGGTTGCTATTAATTAACTGTCATAATAAAATAAAGAACTATTATTTGCATTTCTTAGTGCGCTCCCTTTAGTAATATGTATAAAAAGATGCTTGTAACAAAAATGAATTTATAAGGGAGAAAAAGCCCTCTGAAGTCTCCCCCCCTTCACTTTTTTTTTTTAAGGCCCAGGCAGCAGGAGTCTGACTAATTATTAGGGCTGGTTCTGCAAGAGAACAAATAGAGGTAAAACACAAATATGAAAGTAATTAGGAAAATGCAAAATCCTGTTTACTTGGCAACCAACGCATGCAACTGAGACTAACGAAGAGCAAATCAGCTTTGCTTGTTTGATAAACTTAGGGGTGCCACCTAAGAGGAGCTGATAAAAATTAAACTTCTGCCAGCATCCCTCAGCACTGCCTTTCAGCAAACGGGCTTACTAACACACAGGGCTTCGTCTGAAAGCACCAGCAAATCTAATTGGAACAGATTCACAGGAGGAAATCTCACACTTCCTTCTCCGTTAAACGTTTTCACCTTTGCAATCTGCCATCGGTGATACCTTCCAGCTGAGCATCCAGCACAGCCACCCGTGTTTGCACGTGCAATTCATAGGCTAGCAGCGCTCACAGATGCAAGCATTTCTGGTCTCCTTCCCTAAAAAACAAAACATCAACACTTCCACTGCTGCTCACACCTGGGAATGCGTGTGGTGGGAAAGTTCTGCTTGCAGTTTGCATTGCTGCTTTTTACAATACACGGTGATACATCACTTGAAGCAGACTGCAGCTTACATACCTTTGTGGAGCCCCTCTTTTCTCCCAAGCAGATAGTAGAATTCACAAAAGCTGCCAATTATTTCAAGACTATGCAGCTAAGGAGAGGCATCGAATCAAGATAAAGAAAACTCTTGGCTCAATATATTTGCTTGAATGGATTCTCAATAATGCAGGTAACAAAAGCACTCAAAAATTGGATTCCTAATGCTTTTCTGCCAGCCTGAAGGACTGATTCTGAGAAGTGAGAAGAAAGTCAGCCTTGAGAAAGCTGCATGGAGGAATGTATGACATTCTCTCCCTCTGTACAAACACTTCTGCAGGAACTGACAAAAAGGAAGAGATTTAAGTGAGGAACAGTCGACCTGAAATGTAGTCAATTACAACACAAAGAGTTAAAAAGACACCCCTGAACTGCTCTTCTTCACTCTCCCCTTTGCAACCCACAAGCCTGAGTTTTATTTTTCTTTTTCATTGGTCATTTCTTATCTGCTGCTTGGACAGGAATTGATTCATAGAAGGACAGGGGAGAATTGCTATGGAAATCATTGGAATGAAAGGGAGAAAAACAAAGAAAAAAATAAAAGAATCCAAAGAGCAGTTTGATTTTTATACATACAGCACTCAATGAAAGTGCTCAAGTTTTCCCACAATGAGTTAAAGGGACCAACAAAAAAGTCATCTTCTCTTGAAGGGATCTGTTAAGTTCAGCAAGTACACGAGCACCTAAAACTGCCCCTATCCATGTGCACAGCACAGCACATCCAGCACTCAAACTACACACCAAGTTCTGCAAGAGAGCATCCCCACAAAGCTCCCAGCAGAGCCACCCAGCAATGTGATCCTTACAGAAATCCTTCTGCCTTCTCCAAAAAGTTTACTAACCCAAATGCACCCCAGGACCGACAGCAGTTTCTCTCCCATAAAACCACCATGCTGAGATTTCAGAGGATGGAGGAGCAAAGTATGAAAACTTTGCCAAACATGCACTTCCAGTAACACCACCAGAGTTCAGCGTCTGTTTTAAGCCTTTCTAAGACATATTAACTGACAGAACCTTGAAAGACAAGCTATTTCATGTCATTCTTTGGAAAATATGAAGCTGAGCTCTTGGGAACTGAGTCTTCCTTAGCTTTTGGGGAAGAATGGAAAGCAGGATGGATGTCAGCACTGCAGCCTCCCTACCCCAGACTCACACAGCACAGGAGATGCCATGTTGCTGCATACAATCACGCTGGTCTGTGAAGAAAAATATAAGTTACTCACTACAGGAAAACCAATGCAATGAAGTCTATCACAGCATAAAATCCCAGTGCAATGAAAACAGCCCTCCTTGCAGTGAGCTGGGTTTGTCTCCACCAACACCATCACCCCATACCAGTGGCTGCATTTGTTCCCAGGGGGTCATTTTGGCAGCAGCACAGAGGCACAGCGAGGGCATGGAGGGCACCTGAAACAGCACACAGTCATGCTCCTGCAAGGGCTCCATACTGCATGCTTGTCCTGATGGAAACCCACGTACCCAAGCTGCCCCATGACTGTAAAAATGCACAGACACACAGTCTAAGGAAAAATGTAGTAAAACTCTTTGCTTGACAACAGCAGCGATGTTTAAGGGCAAAACATATATTTTTGCATCTATAAACCATCTATAAACATCCATAAACAGATCTAAATGATTTTCTCAGTGCTGCCTTTAGGAGGAAACTCTCTTCTTGAAACACCGCATTTTATTTTGTGTTGAGCTTTCTTCACATACAAACTGTTCATTTGGCAACAGCAATCGGATACCAAACAACAGTACGCTCCTGCAGAGCCCTCTGCTCTTTTTGTCACCTTTTCCCAACATTCTCACATTGGCTGTGACCAACTCAAAGCTCTGGACCTGTCAAAATCCTCAGCACCTCAGAAGGGGCACAGTGGAACAGGCACTACCCAGCTTGCCGCTTCAGCTCAGCTTTCATTTCCCTCAGCCCCTGCAGTTCCTTCTGGAGGTGGTTCACAGCCTGTAGGATATCCTGCCGCTGGGGATCATCTTCTGCTTTCTGGGTGTAGAGGAGGAAATGTTTAACAGTTTCGGAGAGCAATGCCTCAGGGTCCTCACCCACCCGATGGAGACGCAACATTCTCTCGCAGGCTATCGCGTAGTTTTTGTGCCAGTTCACTGGGTGATGAGGATGAGAGCTGACAATTTCTTTGTAGGACTGTTAAATGGAGGAAAAAAAAAAAAAAAAAAAAAAAGAAGAAAGAAAAAAAGGGGACAAATTAAGCAAACAAAGGGGACCAACAGCTCTTAACAGTGCTTCAGAACTGCCCATAAAGGAACAGATGCTACTAAGATGTCTCCATCATCCAGAGTCAAAGCATTTCTGAAACTCACTCTGTTTGCCATGTGATGTGTGGTAGTGTGAATCCAAAATCCAGGGATTTTGTGCAGCAGCTGTTTGTTTAGAAACATTACAGACAATTGAGGAATTGAGATAACCCCAGAGCACATTATTCCCTTTCCCAAGAGGGAACCAGACTGGGCAAAGATGGATTTCCCTGCTGTGCCTGCAAAAACACTGACTCAGTGTTCCAGGAGATTGGGACACCTTCAACGGGATGTGAGCAGTTTGAATCCTAGGGTTGCCTGGGTTGCAAAGGAGCACAGTGCTCATCCAGCTCCAACCCCCTGCTGTGTGCAGGTCACCAACCAGCAGCCCAGGCTGCCCAGAGCCACATCCAGCCTGGCCTTGAATGCCTGCAGGGATGGGGCATCCACAGCCTCCTTGGGCAACCTGTGCCAGTGCCTCACCACCCTCTGGCTGAAAAACTTCCTCCTAACATCCAACCTAAACCTCCCCTGCCTCAGTTTCAAACCATTCCCCCTTGTCCTATCACCATCCACCCTCACAAACAGCCGTTCCCCCTCCTGTTTATACACTCTCATCAAGTACTGAAAGGCCACAATGAGGTCTCCCCGGAGCCTTTTCTTCTCCAAACTAAACAAGCCCAGATCCCTCAATCTTCCTTAACAGGAGAAGAGTTTGCCTAGGAGCGTTTGCTAAGTGGCAATATTGATAAGCTCAACATCATGCCTGGGAACTTCATGGAACAGAACAGCAAAAATGACAGCAAAATGGGCAAAACTTTAAAGGAAGCGATTTACAGACTGTTTGCTGGGGTATAAAACATCTCCTCTCTGCTGACACACACTGATCGTTTCGTGCATCTGCTGGCATCTCTGGCAGTGCAGTATTTATTGAGATACCTACACCAGCTTACGTGTGTCATTCTCTGCTGTGAAATGCAGCAGAATTAATTTGCAGTGAGAAGACTGTCGGATTTTACACTTGCTGGCTCAGATGCAAGACTGTGTAATGACAGAGAGGACAAGTGCATAGAGGGGACTTTAGGACAAGCAATCTCTTGGCATGGGTTTGGAGCCCAGCGCAGACAACATAATTATAGCAAAAGGAGGGTGTTGACTGGTTAGCTTTTGGCATCCTCTGTGACCAAGAGGGCAAGCAGGAATGGATAAAATCCCTGAACAAATCTCTTTGAATCTGCTATGCTCCTGATTTGGATGAATGAGAGAGAATGCAGATTACAGGACAGCCTATCTAGATACACCGTGATATTTCCATGTGGTCAAAAGAATTAAAAAAAAAAAAAAAAAAAGGATGGAGACTGCAGACAGTATTCATAACAAAATGTACGACTTACAGTGTATGCCAACGTGTACAGCTGTGCTTTCATTTCTGCAGGCACACTGGCAGTTTCTGCAAGGCCAAATATAAAGAAAGCTGTTTTCATCCTAGGAGAATAAGAAAAGAAAACACCTTGTAGCAACTGCTTAACATAACCAGCTCACATCTCCTGATCACGTCTTCAACATGTCCATAAAGCTCTTTAATTGTATGGGACAGTAAACAAGATTTTTTCAAGTCACCAGTGATAGAGATTTCTTTCCACGGTATGCCCAAACTACCCTCTGTTCTTCAAGATGCTTTGAGCAGAACCTCTAAGTGAATGAAATCAGTGTTTTCCTTCTGAAGTTTGGCACATTAAGATCCAATAAGGCCATGCACTATCAAGCTGCCTGCTTTGGTGTGTATTTCCACGCACTGGGGAGCAAAGGAGCATCACCTGGCTTGCCACATCTCCTCATTGGCGACAGCTTCCCAGGAAGAGGGCTTGAAACTAAACGGGAATTAAAACAAAATTCAGCCATCAGATCCATGTCATTGTGTTTTGCTCACTGCACAATCATCCCTTCTAACCCAAGCACTGACAGACCTCCCAGGCAGCAGAAAACCTGTCATGAAGCCTATGGCTCTGACAGCAGGGAATTCAGCTGATCCTCAGTCATTCATAAAACTTTATCCCTCTCCCTGCACAGGGGGAGCCTCTGGTGTTTACATCAGGTGTTTCACAGCATCCCAGCTATCCACAAAGTGAGAGATGATTTTTACCATCCCATCATAGCTCAGTCTACAACATTTAAAGCTCTGGGTGTCCCATGTCTTCAATGGTTTTGGGCTCCCAATGAAGTTTTAGGATCAGAATTGGACCTGACAGTTGACTAGAAACCTCTATTTTTAACACTAGCAAAAAACAAAAAGCACATGCAGAGATATCGTGTGTTCCAAAACATAAAGCATTAAGATTAAAGCTCAAATTTCTCTAACACTGCAATGGATGTGGTTATGAGGAATAGGAAGCAGGAAGACACAGAGCTGTGCTTCTGCCTCTTACCTCCCATACTCTTCAGTCCAGTTATAGAGATTTCTTGTCAGACGAATCCACTCTGCTGGGTCAAAGACAGCATCAGAAGGAACCAACTTCTCACAGGTACCCCATGGCCAAAGCGAGTAACTCCTCTTCCAGGTTGAGTCCCCTTCATGAAGACCTATGCAGACAAACACTTCTTTACTGCCAAAAAACGGAACAAAGAGAGGAATGGTGAAGCCATGTCAGAGGCCCTGGGCAATCCCACGTGCTTGAGCTGCCCACCCACCCCATGTTGGTGCAGCAGACAGGTCTCAAGAAGCACAACTGTAGACGTCTCTGTTCAGTGAGGGGAAGCTGAACCAGATGAGCTTTAAGAGTTCCTTCCAACTCAAACAAATCTATGATTCTATTACTTCCTGCAGCACAGAGCATCTCGCATCAGAACGTCTCTGGGGCAGTCTGAAGAACAGCTCTGTGGGCACATAAGTACCTCCATGGTACTGCACACCTTGTGCAGCAGAGCAGGAGGGACATCCAGGGGAGATGTTCTCCCGTGTCACACCTTACATCTGTGCCAGAAGTAGGAGAAGCCCACTTTGTCCCAGTGGCACCTGGCCCTGCTAGTCTGCCTCCCCACGCTCGCCCCAGCTAGTCTAAATGCAGATGCTATTCTTATTCATGGGAGTATCTAATCCTTTCTCCACTCTTACTAAGCTATTTTTATATGATGATTATTCCTGGAATACATTCATTCTATGCTAATCACTTGGCCACAATGTTCAGGAAGGAGAAGCTGCAGCAATTTACTCTCCAACCATCATCATTCTGAGTACACAGGAATGTTTCTTTTTTTTTTCTTTGTGACGAATTGTGTCAGCAAAAGAAAAAAAAATATATCCATAAATATTCTCTGCCAATCACCTTCTTATTTTTCCTTCCTAAAATCCAAACTTACCTCAAAACAACGAGAGTATTATACCTTGTTCAGCAAGACATAATATTGTTCAACAACACTGAACAACATTATATCTGGATGGAGTTACTTCCGCACAGATATTTGCTTTAATTGCAAAAATAATCTCACCACTGGGGAGGAAGTCAGTAGAGAAAATTGGTCTTTTGGATGCAGCACCAAGCTGTTCCATAAACAATTTCAAGAGAAAAAGGTTGAAGATTTTCGGAAAGCTGTTCCATTATGAAAGAAATGCTTACTGCTTATTCGCTTTGAGGAAATGGTGGAGATTAAAAGCAAGTGTCCCATCGGGTAATATTCCTTCCACAGGGTTCCACCGGTTCCCAGGAAAATGAACACCAGGTAAATGCTTTGCCAGCTTGGGTAAATACCATTCATAGGTCATCATCTATCACCAAAAACATTATCGTAATTAAAACAAGAAGCAGAGTTTCCATCCATTTTACACCAGCAGCTGTAGAAATGCCTTTCATGTGAGTAATGATTCCATTTATTCAGTAAGGGTTTCCTCTCATTTCAGCAATGGCCCGGGACCATGCCATCAGATCAGACCATCAGTGGCTTCCACTTGGAGAAACATGGTCATTGCCACTGAGGGGAAAAAGTCTACATAAACCCAAAATAGCTACAGCTGTGAGGAGACACAAGAGAGCTTTGGTTAGACATGGGGCATTGGGTGAGGCCTCCCCAACAAATCACAGTACCCTGTTGCAAAGCCAAGTGCAAGAATTATGTGCTAGTAGAAATGCAACTGTGCCTTTCTGCAAAGAGGATTCTTCTTCTTCCAGTACTCAGGAAAAACAAATACAACCACCACCCCAGGGGACACAGCATCTTCATTTGAATTAAAAGAAAAAAAATAAGTCTGCAAAAGCACCTTTGGTGGACCAGGATAACACAGGAGACCTCAGGAATTGGGCCTCAACATGGCAGAGCCCTTGAGAGAAAGCCCAAAGCCCCATTGCCCAAGGGCTGCTGGCTGACTCTCAGCCCTCCAGACTGCTCCCAACGTGCAATTTTCTGAAAACAGAAAGGATGAAGCTTTCTCAGCAAGGTAAACATCAGCCCTGTGCAACAACTGGATACCTGCCATGTTGCCTCATTCAGTATCACCTTCTGAACCTACCTCTTGGTCCACTAATGTGATATCTGGCCTCACTCCTTCAACATAATGCAGGTAACGAAGGGCGTTCCCGGGCAAGTCTCCTCTTAGCAAAATCACTGCACCCATTGGCATAGAGGACAGCAGGTTTTTTGCAAACTTATCAACAATGTAATTGTTGCTCTGATCACAATCACTGAAGAAAGCAGATGAAAAAAGAACATTTTAAAGCCAGGCACTTGCACGGTTTTGCCCATGTTTGGAACAATTTTATGCAATAGACATCCAGTGGTGAGGTCCTTCCCCTTTGTCAGATCTGGCTGAAAAGCATCATCTCCACTTAGAAGATACAAACACGAAGCCTTTAGACTGCTGTCCCCTAGAAGCTAGAACAAGAGACATGCCACTATGGTTTTGCACAGATACACACACAGTGCATGCATTCATCTTAATGCTGATCTTTTTTTCTAATTTTTCTTCTTGGACTAAACATAAAGATTTGGAGCTGGAAGTGCCAGTACACAGTAAGTATTTGAAACCCTCCCTACTCTTTTAACACTTTTAATTAAGCTGAGCCTTGTACAAAGCAAGGATTTCTGCCTATGGAGCCTCTGAGCTCAACACTTCACCAGTTGGTCAAGCTCCACCTGAGCAGCTGTACTACTATACTGATTTTTACCTAACCCACTGCAGAGTTCTCAACGTGGTTATGGAATAAGGAAGCCTTATATTATAAGATGTAATTCATTTAATAAAAGAAAGAAAAATTAAGAAAAAATACTGGGCAACTTGAAGCAAAGCATGGGAAGGAGAAGGTGATGCCCGAGGGGATGTCTTACCTATAGTTGGCCCAAATTTGAGCAGCAACGAGAGTCCCAGCAGAAAACCACTCCAGCCACGGCAGCACTCGGCTGCCCTGCAGCACAGCACCTCCAAGGGACGTGAGAGCAGCCAGCCCCAGCCCTGCCAGCACAGCCACAGCCACATTGCTCTGCATCCAGAACCGCTCCACCTAGGACAGAAGGCAATGTGGCAGTGCTTCCTTGGGATGCAAGCCTACACTTCTGGAGCAGGATATCTCCAAGCTGGAAAGCTCACAAATGAAGGGCAGACAGAGACAAGGAAAGGAGAAGTTTCTTTCCTTTAATCATAGAATGGCCTGGGTTGCAAAGGAGCACAATGCTCATCCAGTTCCTGCTGTGTGCAGGGTAACCAACCAGCAGCCCAGGCTGCCCAGAGCCACATCCAGCCTGGCCTTGAATGCCTCCAGAGATGGGGCATCCATAACCTCCTTAGGCAACCTGTTCCAGTGCCTCACCACCCTCCGTGTGAAAAACTTCCTCCTAATTCTTCCTTTTAACATACATCATCTATCTAAATACCCAGAGACCATATTTATGCTTCCCCAGTTAAAAGGGAACAGAAAATGTAGCTGTGTGCTTGCACCCTGTGCATCTCCAAGACAACCACCTGCTCTTGACTCGCAAGGGACCCAACAGCCAACGAAGCATGAAGGAGGCTGCTTCCAAAAACCAACACCCCAGAGCAATTTTCAGAGTGAAACTTACCACTCCCAGAAACAGAGGCTTTGTAACATCCAAATTTGCTCTCCAGGCGAAAAAGAGTGAATAAACACAGAGCATTCCAGCGAAGAGACAAATCACGGGTGATTTCTGTTGCTTTATCCTATAAAAAATAACGTAGCACTATAGTGGCATGATCAAAAGTAGGAAAAAGTTATATGTGCACGAAGACAGCTGTCTCTCTGCATGTCTGAATGCGTTTAATGCAAGGAGCTGGTTGGTTTTACCTTACTTTTCCAATTTATGAAACTTTTGTTTTTCAGAGCATGCAGCCATCAGGATCTCAAGATTTTTAAGGCATCTACAGAGTCACAGGGTAATCAGGTGCAGGGCTGTTTTGCTCTTTATCAATAACACAGGATAACTGCTGAAATTTCTGCCCAAGGAAGCAGAATAGCTCCATGTGGCACAAGGCAGAGAAAGCACCTAAAGCTCACGCTTGGCCAGTAAGGAAATGCAGGTGGGAGTAAATATTCCCCTCCAACTTACCGCAGTGCTGTGCTGAAACAGGCCACGAGTGCCAGGACAAGGACAGGAAGGGACAGCTCTGACCTCATCTGCTCCAGCTGGAAGCTGTGGGGAAATCAGTGCATGTCTGCATGACCCTCAACTCAGTGCCTGCACTCAGTGCAATAAGAGAACAGGGCAGCTGTACGGAGCACCCCTGTTCTGCTGGGGTTGAGTCTACCAGAAACAGGAACAAGCCAGGATTTTGAATCCCCAGCAGTGGAATAGTCATGATTTTACTCACACCAGCATATCTCTCATACTTGATCGAGTCTCGGACTTGGCCTGGATTAAAAAGAAAGAAAGAAAATGAGAAATTCACACACTGACTGGGGAAAGGAGAAGTCTTCCCGCTTTCTGTCTGCAGAACCCTGAGTGTAAAGGGCTGCTCTAGAGCTCTTTCAAATGGTACCACACTGATCACAGGGGACAGGAATTGCTTAAGCAAAACCAAAGACAGCAAACTACTCCAACGTTCACTGCAAAATTTTCCTCCATTTTTTTGTTTTACATTTTTGCATGGTTCACCACCCAGATGAACCCAACTCATTACCTTGTGACCAGAGCACATCATATGGCTTAGCTGTGAGCTCCACTAAAAGTGCACGACTGGGGGCACCTCATGGGCCTCAATTTCTACTTCTTTACCTACTTGGAGAAGACCTCCACGGTCAAGTCCAACCTTAACCCTCTCCCAAGATGCTCACTGCCCACGTCCCTCTGTGCCACATGTCCACCATTCTTGAACACCTCCAGGGACAGTGCCTCCATCACTTCCCTGGGTATGATTCAGGAAGTCTGGAAGGTGTATTTAACCTCAATAAAAATGGAATATTACGTTCCATTTAAAAAATAGTTAAGAACATAAAAGTGTCAGAGGATGGCTCTGGCATTAGCCCAACCAGCATTAGGACCAAACACTTGGATTTTGCTGCATGTACTGCTCCAGTTTCAGACCAGTTCAACATAAATGTGGTGCAGGATTACACACGGCCCATCCTTAAGCCTCCTGAACATCAATTTGAATTCATCAGATCTAATGGAGAAAGCAGTCGAGAGATTTGTATGCATTGGCATTGCTCTGCCCAACAGAACCTAGTTCTCAGGAGAGGTCTGGGAACAGGACAACAGGGAAGTCTCAGAAGTCCTTCAGAGGGTGGACCTTATCTCTGTAGGAGCACAATGCTATGTAAAACACAAGCCTTTCTTTTATTCCCAGCATTCTGCATTGAAAACTCTGAGACAAAATGGCCACTGCTCTCCTTGGGTAGCCAGAGCTCAGTTTGGGTTGGAGCAGAAAGATGCAAATCCTACACTCTGCACACAGTTATATGGTATCTCCCTCTCTTTGCAAGAGCACAAAGCAGACAGAATAATTCAGAGCAAACGATTCTGAGATTCCCCCAAACCTACCATTCACTTCAATGCAACATTACTGAGATGTAAGTTAGAGGAATCTCTTTTAAGGTTAAAGCAATGAAAAATTGCTTGCAGCCTCTTTCAATAGCTGGGTTTAAAATGATTTAAAAAAAAAATAAGCCAAATATTTGTCTTAAAATAAGAAAAACACAAAACAGGTGTTGCCATCTCTCTCTAGCAAGACTTGGTCTTTGGGTTTTTATAAATATGACACATGTGGACAGCCCCTGGTAAATAGCACAGCTCATCCCACAAAGACAAAGAGGATCAGGTCTTGCTTTCCCAGCCATCGAACCCACACCCAGAAAATCCGACAGATCCAAAGGTCAAACTCAGGAAATGATTTTTTAAAGCAATTTCCAATTTTTTCACCTCCAGGCTATTTAACACCACAAGCAGAAAGGTTCTGCTGCCGCATTACTCAAAAGAAAGCCTTGTAGAAAATGATCTTTATTTACCAGATTGAATGTCCCATATTCCTCCCTGAGAAAGTGGGTCAAAAATCCTTGAAAAGTCGTCTGGTCTCCCCATGTCCAACGGGCTCGATTGAGGTAGGACGAAGCCGGCAGATAGAGATAAGGCAGCAAACCAGCCAAGAAGCATAAACCCAACTTCAGCAAATGGCCTAGGGACAATTCCTGCACCAAAATATGTCATATTGCATAACAATGTTTATTTTAGTTTAATCATGCTGGAACTTCAAGAACAGATAAAGAAAAAACATCAAATATATTTACACAGAGCTGATCTCTCAATTTATAGTAAGTCCCTACAAAATGCTATGTTAAACCTTATGATTTTGTGGATTACTAGGAAACTGCATCAAACTGATCTCCTTTGCATGGCAGGGTGAAATTTAAGTGAAGCAAATAATATTAGCTAGGACTCATGAGTATCATACTCGTTGCATCTTTCACATTTAAATCATGGCATGACATGCATAGATGGCTGAAGCACTGCAAGGCTGAGATAACCCACTTTGCAGCGATTAAGAGTTGGCTGGTATTCCATCTGGCAAAAAAAAAAATGCTGCTCTAGTACAACTACACACATCATCACCATCATCAGGAGTCAGTTTTGCCATTTACTTTATCATGATTACACTGGCTAAATTGGATAGGCCAACTTTTGGGGTGGGATTTTCAAGATTGCCTAAGGGGTCAGGAAGACAAGACTTTCAAAGGGACTTCTGTGCCTAACTCCTTTAAGTGCTTTGGAAAATCCCACCCTAGAATATTGCACGCTTGCTTTATCATTAGCCACCGTCCTGTCAATCAAACACTTGTTCAGAATTTGGGGTTATGTGGAATAGACACCATTCAGCATTCAGAGCAACAACCTACAGAACAGAGAAAGTAGCCTGATAAAGTTGGTGGCTAAAATTTCTTTAGAAATCCTTAAATTTATTTCTAACTGAAAGGCACTGGTTTTGATCAAATATCTTATTATTAGGTGGATTTCCGCAGCATGCTTTCCTGAACTGTCTAAAGTATTTCCCAGGAACATTACATTGCAACAGCATTCTCTCTGCTGGAAATCACAGAGGTCTGTGCACCTCCCTGGTTAAAAAAACAACTGTTTAAAGAAGAAAAATACACTGCATGAACCATCACTTTGGTAAAGGAAACAGGAAGGCTGCAGGGCTTTTGCTAGAAGGACTTTTGCATCAAGCTTGTCTGAACTGCATCTTATCTCTTGCTGCTCACACACTTCACTCTAGGCTTAGCTATAAGCTGTGCCACTGTGTAGAACCACACCTGATCTGCCAGGCTGAGGGTGTAGAAATACAGGTAGGAGCACCCCAGCACAAAGCTGCCCAATTGTCATCTGAAGGTAGAAGGCAGAGGGTACAGGTGGAGGTTTCTCTGGCCCACTTGTAAAGTGATATTAGTACTAAATCTTTTGAGATATGCAGCACTTTTTAGAGCAGAGTTCCTACAACATGTCTGCACCCAGCCCAACAAAGCCATCTGCAGAAGACCACCTACATCTGACAAGAGCATTGTAAAGTCCCTAAATGTTATCATGGAACCTCATCCAGATGGATGCACATCACCTTCCTGAGCCAGGTATGCAAAAAGGTGTCCTTGTTCTGCAATGAACAAGGAGATGACCTCCAGAAGTCTCTTCCAACCTCCAACTACTCTGAGATTCCAGGACATCTGACCACTTCAGGGCTTGTTGTCCACTGAAGGTCAGTTTTGCCTTGGTCTTCTCCAGCTGGCACAAGCCTGGTGCCTCACCTGAGAGTTCATAGAATTGGCTTGGGTTGGAAGGGACCTCAAGGATCATCATCCCCCTGCCACAGGTAAGGTTGCCAGCTGCTAAATCAAGTTTAACTAGATCAAATTGCCCAAAGCCTCATCCAATCTGGCCTTAAACACTTTCAATGATGGAGCATGCACAGCCTCTCTAGGCAGCCTATTCCAGCAGCTCAGCACTCTCTCAGTAAAGAACTCTTCCCAGTCATCTAATCTAAATATCCTTTCCTTTAGTTTAAAACCATTCCCCCTTATCCTATCACTACCTACCTGCATAAAAAGTTGATTTCCCTCATGTTTATAAACTCCCTTTAAGTACTAAAAGGCCTCAGTGAGGACTCCCTGCAGCCTTTTCCAGGCTGATCAAGCCCAGCTCCTTCAGCCTATCTTCATAGGAGAGGTGCTCCAGCCATCAGATCATCCTCATGGCGCCCCTCTGAACCTTCTCCAAAAGAGCCTCTTGCAGGACTCCAGTCCTAGTAGTGTCAGAGCTGGAGGCAACCAAACCTGGCACATCCCAGGGGCATGCTGAAGAGAAATGCATGAGATCAGCACCTGCAGCACCCTTGCTAATTCTTTGAGTCTTTGCTGGCAGCAGTCACACAATGATGGACAACAAGTCAATGCAGCTTCCATTTGCTACCACCAGGGAATCAACACAGAGCAACTCATCTCCAGTCATAAGCCAGTGCCTTAAAGCAAGCTAAAACAGCTGTGAGTCAGCAAAATACACACCGTCTTTCTGAAGAGCAGGAAGAGAACCCAAGGTACAATACAAGCAATATAAAGCACTATTGTGTGCTGATTGCACAAACTGAGGCCGCAGCAAAAGGCACCAAGTTTGGCGATCTGGAAGGGAAAAACAAACAAACACCTTATAATTGCTCTTTACAGTTTGCAAGAAGAGCCACACACCAAAGCAGCATCAATGCAGCCCAAAGCAGACATAGAGGATAAGACAAAACACACCTGTGAGCACTGGTTGGTTGTAATACAAAAAACACAGGTTACTTCAGTTAAGTTTTATGCCATAAAAATAATTACGCCATTTCTATGTATGAAGATATGATTTTATGTAACAGGAGTTAATTTCTTCCTCTTCTGCAGGCACAGATGGCTAAAGTCAGGGCTACACAAACTTGCTAAACAAAGGGAATTAAAAGCAGTATCACTCAGTAGCATAATTTCATTTCAGAACCTGTTTTCTGATAATAGAGGTAATGTGTTCAGACTATGCAGGGTATTTCTGGTACTCACTGAGGATTACTTAGCTTTGTTACCAGCACTCTGACCATCCCAGGCTGATGCTACAGAAAGCATCTCTCCACCTCAAGTGGCCGTAAGCTCTGCTCAGTCCTGCTTATTTCAGTCACTAGGTGACAATGGCATGTGAGGGGTAAACATTTGCCTTCATGTGGAGATGGGATCACCCAGTAGCTTTTAATTAGAATTTAACACTGGATGTTGCTTTGTCAAAAGAAAAGCCTGCTACAACTTCAAAAAAAAATCCTTGCGGTCTTCAGAGCTGCCCTCAAAGACTTGGGACACCTCAGTAATTCTTTGTGTATACCGGCGACCTGCAAACACACTGCTAAAGATGTTTCAGGCTGCATATTAGGAGCAAATTCTCAGAAAGAGTGATCAGGAACAGAGAGGTGGGGGAATCACCATCCCTGGAGGTGGTCCAGAACTATAGAGATGTGGCACTGAGGGCAGTGGGCATGGTGGGAATGGGTTGGGCATGGACTTGGTGATCTTGGAGGCCTTTTCCAACCTTAATGATCCTATGAAACGTGTCGTCGACTTGCTGTTTGTAGCCTGACCTCGTTGAGTTGTAAGGTGCTGGACACCCAAAAAAAAGGAAATAAGCTCACTGACTACTTCTGGACAACTCATTCGAAAATCCCATTGGAAACTGGGTGCGTCAAGCACAGGAGCAGCTTGGAAAATGCCCAACTCCATCTCCGTGGAGTCCAGTCTCTAGGGATCTCAGGACAGAATTGAGCAGAAAATAGGAGAAAATAAATAAATCCAATGATGAAACAAGGTTTCTCTAGCCAGTGACAACATGTGTTATTTGATAACTTGCAAAGCTGAGTAAACTACCACTATGGGCTCCTGAAATTCTAGGTTAGCCCAACAAAAATCCTTTTATTCACACAATTTATAGGAGTCACAGCAGGCAAGTCAGTAAGTAGAGAGGAGATCAGATGTTCAGGCAAAGTAAAGTAGAAAGAACAAGACTGGTGAGTAAAGCCATCTGACCACCTGATCTGCTCCCAAAGTAGTGAATACAGCATGAATTGTCCCTGTATTTAATAATGGTATTATTTTGGGGGTAGTTTTCATTTCGAAACAGTATACATTGAACTGCACAGAACTGACAGAAAAATTGGCCACTTCTGTTTTTCATTAGAAACGTGGGTTTCAGACTGGATGAATTTTTCTGTAAGACGTATCTATTTACCCTTGGGAAAAATAACAGTCCTACCAACAAAACCTTGAACACTCACAGCCTACTTTGAGTCTTTGATGCAGAAAATTAAACTTTGTGCTAAAACATTTAGATGAAAATGATTTTGCTTTTTCCATTCCTATCCTCTACGTGTAAAGCAACACAAAAATGCCCATCCAGCGTGTCCCAACAAAACCCTTAAGCAAAGTGCACAGATTTTCAAATGTTTGGCACTTCTGAAAATGCAGGTGGATCAAGGATCAACACGGCTGAATCCAGCCCCAAAATCTGCCCTCCCGTGCTTAACAAAACTGAATCAGGACTAAATGGATAGAAAATTAAACAGACTTATCATAACTGATTGAAAAATAATAATAATAATAATAAATTATTCACTTGGCTTGAGACGTTTTACCTTTGATCTCTCTTTTGCAGTGGATGCCTCCTCAAAATGCACGGTAAGAGCCATAAGCAGCCCCACAAACAGATTGTTTAAGCTAAAAACCTCCGCCGTGATGGACCACTGCCATGTTAGACGAGAAAATGAAAACACCCCCGCAGCAAGGATTCCTCCAGCATATGAGCCAGAAAGCCTGCAAACACAGATAACATGAAATCTTCTTTTCCAACAAAAAAAAAAAAGCCTACTTTATTGTCCTCTTTTTTTTTTTTTTTTTAAACACTGTAGCAGCAGAAATTATGACTGCCACCCAGCTTCCTTCCAAAACATTATATGGTTAATATGTCCCTAATAATTTCTTTGCAGAGAATTGCAATTAGGAAGAGCACACCTCAGCCATCCCGTCTATTTGCAAGGCACCAAATGCTGAACGGCTGGTGAGCCAAGCTGGGTTTTTCTCCACAAACACCACAAAAACTCCCAGTATTCAATTCAGTTCCAAAACCTTGATGAGCAATGACACAGCAGGTCATGGTACGCTGAGCCAGAGAGTCATGCCTCTAACGGGATGCTCTGTGCTGGAGGACACATGAGCAGTGATGCAGCCTTAAGTTCATTGAGGCCCCGCATAAAGAGTGGATTAGAGCTATTCATGATGGACAGCATTAGCAGAGCTTCCCTAAGGCACGTTGGACTGTCTCTGGGTTGGGCAGGGATTGCAGCACCCACAGCCCTGGGATGGAGAGGCACCCACCGGACAGTGGGAGAGGAGACAGTGGGTGCCATTTCCAGCTAGATGGACTTCAGCTCTTGTTCCCAAATGAGCTGGATGTTGCAGGTAGCCTGGGGAGCCCAGAGGTTGGATTTAGCCCAGGAAACCCATTGCACCCACTCCGCTGGTTGCATTATGTGCTCTGCTCTTTGGAAGCCTGGCTTTTTGGGAGGTCTGTCCCATAGGAAGTTACCCTGCAGAATGGGATGGAGGGCAGCACAACCAGCTCAGCCATGTCTCATCCAAGGACTAATAGCTGTGACTAAGGTTAAAGCTGCTCTCCAGAAAATCACAGGCTCTATACAGACTGGTATATTTCTAATCCCACCCCAGGTATGCATATTTCCATTTAGATATAACATTCCTGGCAGGTTTAAAACAAAAGTAGCATAGGCTAGTCAACCTCTTCATCAAGCTGAATCATCAACACCTGAATCATCGATACCTGAACACTGACCGTATCCCTTAGTGCAACCACAGCAATGTCCCCACATGGTTCATTCTGCCCATCAAGGACTAGGTATCCATGTAAGAGCAGCTAATGGAGTTCTTCAGAGAACATAACTGAGATAAATGGAGACAAGCAAACAAAACCTACAGCCCTTGCAAACAGGGACAAGAAGGACTCTGGGAAAGCACTCTCTAGTAAGGGCTCCTCTCCTTCATCATAAGTTTCTCCCACTTTCTCAAAACAAACTGAGGTCTTCCAGCAGGCTGAAAAGCTGATACATTTCTGTAGATGTCAGAGAACTCACGCAGTTAAAACTAGAAGCTATAAACTATTAAAAATGAGAGGTAGCATCCATGGGGAGAAGACGATTAGCATAAGGAAGTGTAAAGACCTGATCTTCATTTCTCCTCCTAACATGGGACATGCTGGATGGTCTGTGGCTGCCCCAAAGACATCTGCAAAATAGAACTCATTTATCTTCTTTGTAAAGATCTGCAACTGCAGGATATTGCAGGACACTTCCAGTGTGTGAACTTCACACAGTTCTATACAGGTTTGGGCATTCAGAACAAAAACATCCCAGAAAAAAAGCTGTCACTCAATACCCATACCACTCAGCAAAATAAAAGCCACGGTACAGCTATACTGTGATAAAGAAGTTGCTATTTAAGTGTTTTCTAACTTGGAATTCCATCTTGAAATCTTCAATAAATTGAATGCACGCTCACAAGTAACTAAAGGTGCCAATCACTACAGGTTTTCCACCAGCATTAATACGAAGTTTCAAGTCACACAACCACACAGAGAAGAGGTTTTCACAGGCATCAGCGCTGCTCCATTGATCTTCCTACCAAGCCAGCCTAATATGACAGACTTTCCTTTCCTTTAACCAGCAAAAACTTATAAAGAAATAAGGTTGTAAATCCACTTAAAATTCTTGCAGGGAAATACAGTAGAAAAGATAAAGCAACTTTCTCAAACACCGTGGGAAAGAGAAGCAGAATTTTAGGCAATCTTCTCAATCATTTACCAGTTTTTTCGTCTTTACTAGAAAAGACTCAAGCATCTTAGTAGAGTTCAAACGAGATTAAAGACCTCCCACCCCCTGATAAAAAGTCTCAAACTTACGCTTCAAGTTTGATGAAACCAGGCTTATGCAAAAGTTACTCAACTCAAAGCTTAAAGCCTTATCCCAGCTTTGTGGGTAGGGGACACCCCTGCTCACCGTCCAGCCCCCAAGTAGTGCAGGTTCAGAATCCAGCACTGGGCACAATCCAGAGGCTTTTAGGAAGAAGAGCTGACTTCATCTTTCATTCCCACTGAAACACTAAGGAAAAGCTTTCTGCTAAGTTCTCTCTCTGTGAGAACATGTTGTGTGTATGGAGCACCAAGCTCCTACAAGTGCACCAGGTGCTTAAGAAAAATCAAAAAGACAAAACGTAAGGGTGTGTGCTCAACTGTCCAAGAACATCACAAGAGCAGCTTTGGGAAATGTACAGTGGAGACGAAGAGCTTCTTCCAGATTCTGTTATCAACAATGGGAATGATAGAACGGCTGTTTACAAGGATGGATGGTGATAGGACAAGGGGGAATGGTTTTAAAGTAAGACAGGGGAGGTTTAGGTTGGATGTTAGGAGGAAGTTTTTCAGCCAGAGGGTGGTGAGGCACTGGCACAGGTTGCCCAAGGAGGCTGTGGATGCCCCATCCCTGCAGGCATTCAAGGCCAGGCTGGATGTGGCTCTGGGCAGCCTGAGCTGCTGGTTGGCGACCTGCACACAGCAGGGGGTTGGAGCTGGATGAGCATTGTGCTCCTTTGAAACCCAGGCCATGCTGTAATTCTACAATTCATTTACAACTGATGATTCAGAAGGAAACACTCTGAGAAGTGGAAGTGATAAAATCAGGTATTTCCAGACAAGACCTAACCGGCAGAAAATAACACACCAAGCAGCTCTGCTCAACACAAGAGGTGATGGAGCAAAGCAGCACCAGCAGAAATGAATCCCACACAGCTATGCCACACAATGCTGGCCCCAAATGCAATGAAACCGGCCTTGTGGCCGAGCTAACGTGACCCACATGAGGATTCCTACATACCTGGTAGAGGGAGAGGCAGGAAGATAAAATAGAGAAAGGAAGAACTGGAAGAGCAAAAGGACGGGGGCTGGACTGGAGGTCATGAAACTAAGAAGCATGAAAGCATGAAACTAAGTTTCACGAAGCATGAAACTAAGAGGATGAAAGGATTTGCAAAGCAGGACTGCAATCTACAAGTGAAGATGCTGCTGGTGACAACATGTTGCAGGCAACAACTCCTTTAAAGGCAGGCACAGATGGTATTTTAATGAGTAAGTCAGAGTATGGTGTGGAACAAGGTGAATATAAGAGGTGAAGGAGATATCCTGTAACTACAGCAAAAGCTCAGAAACAACCAGTCTACTAACTGGAACCTTATGAACATGGGCAGAAATTCCCATCACCTGATAACATGCTATGAGGGACAGAAACAGTCAGCAAAGAAGAATTCACACAGTCCTTTGTGAGAAGTATTTTCCCTTGGCAGCCCTACACATAAAAGAATAAAAAAATATTTAGTTTTCAGAAACAAGAATATTAGAATGTGTGCCTGGGCTTCATATCCAAGGATGTGGGCAATACAGACTGCTTTTAGCCAGGAGTATCGGGGCTGCAGGATTTTATTAGGAGTTAAAACAGCAAGGAGAACTCAGATTAGATGTTTTAATGTGTCTTAGCAAGGTTTTAGCTTTTCATCTGCAGGTAATCTCTATGACGTGTCAACATGCAATTCAACATTCAGCCTCTGTCCTAAGTTTGGTAAAACTTTCCCTAAGTATAGATTCTACCTATATTCAGTTAGCAAACTACTTAGCTGCTATTTATTTAAAAATTAATGCCTGAAACTTTGTATTTAGTCATTTGCAAGAAGTTATTAAATGATTTGGGTAAAGCTATATGGGTATGGGAATTGTAACTGAACTGGAATGTTTTAGTTAAATGCAATCTTCAGAGCAGTGGCTTCTTAAGAAAAGTCAGCTAATCAAACCACACTTTATATTTGAAGCTAATGTATTAAACACTGGAAACACCTATCTACTAAAATAAGCTGATTATTTCTGCCTTCTGTTTCCTCCAAAACTTTAGAGGGTAGCAGATTTGTTTCAATTTTTCTTTTCAAACACTCTCGGTATAAGGAACAACTCTCTTGCTTTTAACCATCTCCATCACCGAATGGAATTTTTTTTCCCATTTTCTTTTCTCCCTGCTAAAGGGAAGCTAAAGAAGAATGGGACTTAGAAGATCCAACAGCCAAGCTTCCACCAGCCTTTTTCTAAATGTCCATTCTAATCAGAAGAACTACTTTTTAAGGAGAAAACAAATAAAAATCAAATGTGCATTTAGGACTGGTGTTGATAATCATCCCCCCAAACGCCAGTCCCTCTGGATCTGCCTGTCACAAACACTCAGCAGACAAAAGCCAGTTTCTCCTGCTCTCAGCCCTGAAGAGCCGGCGCAGGTACTACAGGGAATAGCAACCCAGATTTTATTCTTCCTTAAGGACCTCACGCTCAAGAGCCACTTGAGCTGTGCCTGCAGCCTCCAATCCCAGCACTGGAGGAGGAGGCAGCACGGAACCCAGCTCGGTTCGCCCATCCTGACGGAGTCTTCACAGCCATGAAGAGATGATAATAATAAAAAGCACGCAAAAAGGCAGGAGCACCACAAATGAAAAGGGACTGTCAGGAGTGGCTGGGAAGTACTGATGCAGGAAGAATTTCGGCTAAGAGAGGTGGTCCTGCCCCCATCCTTTTACACAGGCCCTATGGGATGGGAGGCTTGCGGTGAGGCTACCACCACTGCAGCTCTGTAGGGTCACACTGAGCTCCACCTGTAGGACGATCCCAAGTCCCCAAGATCAACATGCAGCCTCGAACACTACCAGCACATGTA